TCTTAGTATTGCTTTCATTGTTTCCCAGAGATTTTAATAAGTTGTTTCAGAGTTCTCATTTACCTCTAGGAATTTTTCTTATCTCTTCCCTAAAGTCTTCTGTTATCCATGTTTCATTCAATAGCATATGGTTTAGTCTCCAGGTATTGCAGTAGCTTCCCTTTTTAATTTTATCAATGATTTCTAATTTCATTCCATTACAGTGTGATACAATGCAAGGTAGCATCTCTCTCTCTCTCTCTCTCTCTCTCTCTCTTCATATATATATATATATATATATATATATATATATATATATATNTTCATATATATATATATATATATATATATATATATATATATATATATTATATTATATATATACTCTCTCTCTCTATTTATACTCCACTAAAATATAAAACCTTGAAGACAAATTTCTAGAGGCATATGATTAACCCAAACTGAGTCAAGAAGACATACACAATTTAAACAGATCAATTTCAAGCAAGGAAATAGGAGCTGCCATCAAAAACTTATCAACCAAGAAAAAAAAAAAATATATATATATATATATATATATTGCATTTTCTAAGACTTGCTTTGTGGCACAACCTATGGTCTATTTTGGAGAAGAATCCATGTGCTGCTGAGAAGAAAATGTATTCACTCATTGATGGGTGGAATATTCTATATACATCTGTTAAATCCACATTATTAATTGTCTTATTGAGTTCTATAGTTTCTTTGTTTAATTTTTGTTTGAAAAATATATCCGGTGGTAAGAGAGGTGCATTAAAGTCATCCAGATTATTGTCCTGTGCTCTATTTGGTTCTTGATTTTGAGTAGAGTTTGTTTGATGATGTATGAATCCCTTAAGCAGTATGAAATGTCCTTCTTTATCCCTTTTCACTAGCTTTGGTTTTGAAGTCCACCTTATCTGATATGAGGATGGAAACCCCTTGTTGTTTACATGGTCAATGTAAGTGGTACGTGTTTTCCCACTCTTTCACCTTCATCTGTGGATGTCTTTTCCTGTGAGATGAGTCTCTTGAAGGCAACATATTGTTAGGTCTTTTTTTTAAAAAAAATCCAATCTGTCAGTCTATGTCTTTTAATTAATGAGTTTAGATCATTCACATCCAGAGTTATTATTGAAATATGATTTGTATTCCCGGACATTTTGGTTTATTTTTGGTTTTTAACTTGACTTGTTTTCTCCTTTGATTGGCCTTTCCTTTAGTGTAGTTCCTCCCTTTGCTGATTTTCATTGTTGTTTTTCATTTCCTCCTCCTGAAATATTTTGCTGAGGATGCTATGTAGTTGAAGCTTTCTCGCTGTAAATTATTTTAACTTTTGTTTATCATGAAAGGTTTTTATTTTGTTATCAAATCTGAAGCTTAATTTTGCTGGGTATAAGATTCTTGGTTGTCATCCATTTTCTTTCAGAGCTTGGTATGTGTTGTTCCAGTACTTTAATGTACTTTTAAAACCTAATATAGAAATACATTTCTACTACATCAGTTTCTGTCAGATAAAGTTGTATTGTACAATCTAAATTTTAATCACAACTTACAAATGTATGCATTTGATTACTTAACTTTTATCTCAAATTCCAAATATATATGGTGTTTGTCAAAATTTATGACTTATCTTTTTCTAGTTTCTACCCTTTTTTAGTCTTTCTTCTTGCTTTCCCATTCTCATTTTGACACCATCTCCCTTCCTATTCTCAAGATTTCAGTGTTATTCCAGTAGATTTGCATGCTGCAAAGGGCACTCACCATAATCATTTGAATGATTTTTTTTTTAACAATTCTAATTCTGGGATCTTTTCTAATACGGAATTTGAAGTTATGCTTCTCTGTCTTTACAAAGACATTTAAACATCACCTTTGGTATTTATCCTGTCAAAAAAAAATGGCTTTTAGATAATTTGGGGCATACAATTGGGAAATATGACATGGGGTAGCCAGTCAAAAACTTTTGACAGTGTGATGTCCCTTTATAGTCATATGAATATGCTAAATTATTAAACCAGACTAAACCCCAAATTTTCCAAAACTATTTGATGATAGTCAACTTAGAGACACATTAAGTAATATTGTCTTAGCCATATTTAATAGAAACTGCATACCCACACCTGTACATGTGCATACATCTAAGTCAAAAGAAATTACTGACATAATGACTTGATTAAGAATTGTGTATAGAGTATTAAATTAAAAATTGTCTCAATCTGGGCTAGATGTAAGAATTCTGTTTTTTTTTTTTTTCTTTCAGAGAGTCATGATCTTCCTCTACACTGTCCCATATGGTAGCCACTAAACCCTCTCGGGCTTCTGAGCTCTTTAAATGTGTTAAGTCTAAATTGAGACTTGGCACGCCAGACAGACAGGAAGATGTTTCACTAGTAATTTTTATATTTATTACATGTTGAAATAGTAACATTTTAGATAAATTTGGTTTAATAAAATATTAAAAAGTACTCATTCGAAGTGGGTGCCATGGGTGCACACCTGTAATCCCAGCAATTTATGAGACGAGGCAGGAGGATCACAAGTGTAAGGCCAGCCCAACTGACTTAGTAAGATCGTGTCTTAAAATTAAAAAAAAAAAAAATTAAAAGGGGCTGAGAATGGAGCTCAGTGGTAGAGTACCCCTGAATTCAATCTGCAATACCATTAAAAAATTAATTTAACTTTATTCTTCTCACATCTCTGAATGTAACTACTTGAAAATTTTAAGCTATGACACTTCTTGCATTTGTAGCTCTCATTATATTTAATTAGACCATACCAATCTAAGTCTCATGATTCCAACTGCATCATCCATCATCCCCTCCAAAATAAGATACCATGATTAAATAATTTTGTCTCCTGGGTATCAATATATTCAGAGACATTGATCCTTTATCCTCAGAAAATACAGAGAGCAGTAACAGTACATTGTTTTGCACAATTTAACTAAAACCTCTTTTGACACTTTTATGTACAAATAAATTCATCTGCCAATGAAAATTACCAAGAATAATTTCTCGTGGTAGCATTTCAAGTGCAGATGTCATTTATCAGTGATTCATTTATACTTAGAAATTAATTAACATGTTTTCAATAACTTGTCTGCAACTAGGATTTTCTCTTTAAACTTTCACCTTTTCTCTTACTGAGGCCAAACTGCATTTTTGGAGCTAAGATTATTGATAAAATTTAGGGGTGATGTTAAGGTAAAGCTGGCAACCTAATATATTAGCCCATCTTTTATTGAAGTTTGTGCTAGTTATTTGTAACACTGTTTCCCCTTCTTCAGAGGTCTTCAAGAGACTTTAGTTTACAAGTCATGGGCTTCCTCTCTACTGTCCATACTACAGTCCTTGAGTGATTTGTGCTATCTTGACAATGATCCTTTTATTAACATAATTTTACTTCTCCCAGTATTTTTCCATGCTATAGCCTCTTGGTCACTAAACAATATCATCTCTCAGAATAAACACATTTTTAAAGTCTCTAAGTTTAAAATTGCCCTGTATAAGAACTATACTGTTTTACTGTTTCTACCCTCATTTTCAACAAAACTTTTATTTATTTTTATGACTTCTGGTCTTTCACCCCATTATTTATTCTGATGTTTCTTTTCCATTCTGGTTGTTACTGTGTTACTGCCCACTCTGCTTGCTTGTCTAGATTTTTCAGGCATCCTCCCCAGTACTGAGCTGCCAGCCCTTCTCTTCTGTATCACACCCAACCTGTGCTGTCTTAGGCTGCCAGTTGAGTCCATGGAAGCCAACTTTTATTTACCCCATTCACTTTTATGCGATGAACTTGAAATTTCCTAAAATAGCCATTCCAGAACTTTTCTCTCCTCCCATCACAGTACCATACTCAATTGTTTATACACTTAGAAACCAACATGGTTTCTCTTTTCATTAAAAGAATAAGATCAACTGGCAAATATTTTGCCAACCCCCACCTCCATCTCTGTACTTATCATTCTGAGCCTCTGGAAACTTAAATAAAAATTCCACACACCATGGTCGTTACTGGGTTCATAAAGATGAATGCTCCTAAGGAACTCATAGTTCAGTGTGGCATATAGACAAAAAATGAAAAAATGCTGAATGAAATATATGTTTATGGCAGATAGAATATTTTTGGTGCAGAGGTAGGAATATTTGAATCTTCATGACTCTTCATGAAATTTATAAGAATTAAGTTACTAATAGGATCTCTTTGGTGGCAGGTTACATTAAGATGAACATGTGGGTTTCTGTTTGTTGAATATAACTTTTTTTATTTTGATGATAACAAAGAGGGAGAAATAGCCATTATGTCAATTAACTAGGAGTAGAGTCAACTCAATTCTATTTGCTATTTAATTCTTTCTGGTCTGTGACATGGTTCTCTCTATCAAAACTTCTAAATCTTCTTTTATCTCTTTGTATCCCTATATATATATATATATATATTTTTTTTTTTTGATGAGAGTCTCTTTGACCTGGAAGGTAACAATAACATTTACATCAGCTGTTTTTTTAATGATTTTGAAATAAGGTTAACATGTTCTTGAGATTAAAATTACCTTTACAAGAAGAACTCATAAGAAGGAATAACTGCTTTATATTTTTGAGCATATCTGTTGCCTCCGCTAATACTTGTGAGTATATTTTTGTTCTTATCCTTTAGGAGAATATAGCAATCAACACTGATGATAAAATTAGCAGGGGTAGTGTCAAGGAGAAAAAGGTCTTCATATTTGATCATTAGAAAAATACTACAGATAGGTTACTAACATCAACTGAGTTGCTCTTCTCAAACTTGAGAAGCTGTAGCTGTGAATTCTGCTTTTTAAGCACCCTGGGATTTGTGTTTGGTTGCATTTGGGTCAAAACAAGTAATATCTCTTGGCTATTTTCCTCTGACATAGTTCACTCAATTAAATTTGGCAATATTGTTAAAATGTAGGTGAAATAATTTAGATTTCTTTTCAAGGAATAATTTGAATTTGCTGTTTCTCTCATATTCAGATTCAAAACATTATTTGTGGCTGGAGAACGATGTGATGTGGAGACTCTGGAATGGTCCAAAAAGGTCTTCAGAGTGCCTGTCCTAGACCATTGGTGGCAAACTGGTGAGTGTTTTCCAAACGTGTATGTAGATACTGCTGAAATGTTCAAAATTTCTCAAAGACTGGAGAAGAACTTAAGCTATGATTATCAGGCACCAAATCAGGATTCAGGTAGTTCTTGTTTCAGTAGGAATAAGCAATTCTTTGACTGTCATATTGTTAATATGTAACAATACAATGCATAAGTGACACTGGGCCCGCCATTTTCTTGGTCCATAGAGAAAAGCACTAAAGACCACTTTACCTTTCTTTCCTTCTTAGCTTCTCATGTCCTATCTATTGCCACATCTCAGATTTCCCTTTGCAGTATCTATGGCATTCATCCCACTTTCAATGTTCACATTGCCTTGGAGCTGTGGCAGTGGTGTTATCATCTGCCTTGGTTTTAATTATCCTCATCGCTCATCTCTGTTCTTCCTGCAGTCTTATCCACCCTGCACACTGCTCCCACAGTTCCTGCAGTTCCTGCCATAGGAGTCTGTGCCATCTTTCCTGTGTCTTATAAAATCTAATTTCTCTTCTGCCTAGCCTTCAGGCAGAAAAATTTATTTTTCTCAAAAACAATTATCATAATACATATAATTTATTTGTTTACTAATTTTGTTTATTCTCTGTTTTTCTTATACTAAGTGGCCCTCGGGAAAAACATATTCTTATTAAAGAGTTGGAATGTAAACTGTAAAACAAGCAAACAGAAAAAAAAATCTCCTTTTTTTTTTTTTGAGGGATTTTGTGTGTTTTTAAGAGTAGGTAGGTGTTGTTTTGGAGGCTATTTTCCTCCTCACTTAAGTGTAGAGATTTTTTTTTTTTTTCCATTTGACTCACTGAAAGATCTATGGGAGCCTTGTAGCCTTCATATGCACACATTTTAGTGGATTTCCACTTTGTTCATTGAATTAGACAGGACTTTTTATATTAGTACTTTCAGCACTTCTATTTTCTGAGTATCTGGGGATAGAAAATCAAATTTGTATTAAAAATTAATCTTTCTTTGCAAAAATTAGATCTGATTTTAAATATGATTACTGTCTAGAAGATCGAGTAGGTAACGAAAGTTGAAGATCATGTTTTATATTTTTGATCTTCTTGAGTCTGAGGAATTGTGCTTCTTATGTTATCTCTTTGGATATTACTCTTAGGAAAACATGTTTTCCATATCTTTTGTAATATGAAATAGAAAATGAATGATCAGAGCAATAGAAAAATTCCTTACATCGATGAAAATCACAGAGAGGGTTTCTATTATCTCTTGTTTTATTTACTAAAGGAAAAATTACTTATCTAAGTTCAGATTTATAACTGTTTAGAAAATTCAGAAAATAGAACTGCATTGGGACAAAAATCAATGTATACATAGAAGTATATAAAAACGACTGAGGAATTATTACCTTTGCAATATTGTATAGATGTATTCCCTATTATTCAGTAAAGTTTTAACACTTATTTCCTAGACATGAATTGAATAGAATGTCATGTCTGACAGTTTTCCTTAGCTGGTCAAAATGGGAGGATTTCTTTTCACCCACAAGTGACCTTACATAATGGAGTGACCTTCTCACCCTCAAGTGTGTGCATGAGAGTTTTGTTTTTCCTCTTTAAATGTGACTATGGTGAAGCTTGCTGAAGGAAACCTGCACATTCAAAAATAAAATTATGATTTGCTTTTTCTTGTAGACATCTTTGTACATGATAGTTTGTGTAGATGTATGTAGTTAGTGCATTCAGGCTTAACAAAGAAACTCACTGAAGCCTGTGAAATAAGCACATGAGGTCTCTCGTGGGTACTGAGTTTCATGTGAATTTGCAATTTTTCTTTAATGTATTGTTCAGAGGTAATTAATAGCCACATTGTGCTGTGTGCTGTTATTGTAATCAGGTTGGAATAGGCTGCTCCTTTACTGTGGAAAACAGGGGTTTCTACTTGTAGAAGGACTGCTTCCTTCCATTCTTTACCCTGTCCTCCAATTTGATTTTATAGCTTTTTCTCAATTAAATTACAGAAATACATATATATTGAACAGCTAGGCAGACAGATAAGAATATAGATAGATGATAAATAATTTTGTACTTACGAAAGAATTTTGACCTAGGTGATGCATGTGTTAGCTACTAAGAGAAAACCTAGGTAGAATCTTTATTTGCATGGGAAAAATTCAATTTATCATTTCCAAGGTTGAGGTAACTGTAAAGTGATACTGATGTTCAGCATTTGCAATATTTTTCTTAAAGTAATATTAAATTAATATACAATTTTTGGGGGGCAAAAGTTAATAACTCTTAGGGAAACTCTTAGGGAAAGAAAAAAATATATTTCTAAGCCACTGAGGAATTTTCTAGCGTTTTACATATTAAATAGATGGTGGCACATTTCCCCAAGGGGCCAGCTGGTGACGATGGATAGTGTGAAGCGGGAAGTTAGGCTTTGACCAAATAATACTTTCCTTTATTTCAATTTTCAGTCTTCTACAGGACCTACTCTTTATTGCAATTGACTTAAAAATTGATATTTTTATGTTTGCACACTTTTATAAGTCTTCCATGTATGTCTGAATAATTCATGAATTTGCTCTTTGATTACATTAATATATTTGTATAAATGAGCTGTTTGAAAATTGTAATGTCTGATTTGAAATTAGTAAGGGGTATGTTAAGTAACTAAAATTTATGAATAAAAATTGATTGGCTCCTCTGACTTAGGTTGTAAGAAGGAACTCTACAGTCAATCTATTTATGTTACCAGGCTGTTGGTTACCTAGGTGTAATTTGTATTGATAACATAGACTTTTAATGACTAATATCCTCCTTTGATCCATTAATTCTAATGTTCTTGATGTTTAATTTAAATGATATCTAAGATTCTAAATTGAAAATTAATCTGTGAAGAGGGCTGGGGATATAGCTCAGTTGGTAGAGTGCTCGCCTTGCACGCACAAGGCCCTGGGTTCAATCCCCAGCACCACCAGCACCAAATAAATAAATAAATAAATAAAAATAAAATTAATCTGTAAAAAATCCAAAAACAGTTCAGCAACCTCCATCTCTCGTAGGAGTATCTTAATACAGACTTATTGCTATTTAAGACCACTGAAGCATTAAGCTCTTGCTTTGGATTGTAATCATTTAAGTAATTCTGTAGTAAAAGAAACAGGTTTTACTGAGTTTCAAGAGGAAGGTTGTACTCATTGGATTCAGCAATCTGTATAAAAGTTGAATTTCTATTCACTCAGATGTTTTATTTTCCAGTTAATTTATATGTAAGTTGATGTAAAACTTCTGGATTATCATAATCATTTTTACATAGAAATAGAGAAACAGAGGTGCTGCAATCATAATTTAAAAAGGGAAAATTAAGAGAATTGAAAATTGTTCAATTAAAATATGGTAATTCATATACAAAAAATGAACAGCCAGGACTTCATTATCCTTGGTTGCAGAGTCCCCAGACAAAACTCTGCATTGTCATACTTTTTTTTTTTTTAAGTGCTGAGAGGAGCTTTTATAAAGATCAGACAGGAAACATAATTTTAGAAGGAAAGAACTGTCAGGGAAGTCCATGGTGTTCTTTGCAAGTATTATTTTTTTGTGAATCAAGATGACTATAATGAAATTCAGCTCCTTATAAGTAAATAACCTAATGTGGAAAATAAAAGATTCCTTAAATTTTAGAGACTCACTATTAAAACAAAATACAGTAGACCTTCTTCTCCCTTTTTGAGGTGTTCTCCTTACCTTCCTACTTTCTTCCTTTCTTCATCCTATTTGCTATTAGACATGGTATTTGTTTAGAAATTATTGTAAAAGGACATCTTGAGCTCTCAATTTTTAGTTTTCCACCTAGCATGCTAGGTGGAAACACTTAATCCTATCACTTGGTGTCAGTAAGTTACATAAAGACAAATGACTACAAACCTGGGATACTTAAGTTCCACAATGACTTTTATAATGGAAAATTTGGTGAAGGTTTTAGATCACCAGCATTTATGATTCTTTCCACCTGTCGGTTGGACATTATCTCTGTAGTTCCCATCAGAAGATATAGTGCTCAAATAAAAAGTGTTTCAACTGTCTTGTGTCCAGGTAGTGATGACATAATTAAAATGAGGTACTGACTACCAACTCCAGCAGCATTAGATGACATTGTTTGTTTTATTTTCATCCTATAATAGAGAAGTAAAATTCTTCGTGGAATTTTAAAAACCCTAAAGAGGGATTTCAATGAGAAAATAATAGTCATCTAATAGAGACATTAGTGATGAAGTTACTGATTTTACTTTATCTGCCTTGAGCCATCTTTGCTGAGTTCTTACATCTTGAAGTAATCAGACTATTTTTCTCAACTTGATTGAACTCCTACAGTTTTAATTGCAATTGCAGTTCTGAAGTAACTGTAGTCTATATACAACTGAAATCCTCCTCCTTTGAGGAGGAAATTGGTAATTCTGTATTTTATTAAAGTGGACCCAAGGCTCCAGCAAGCTTCAATCATGCCAGTTCTTACATCAAAATCATTATTCCAAAGGGCACTTATACATTAATGTCATGTTTTTAAAGTGCCTCATGGCTACTTGACATAACAGTCTTTATTTTGCACAATTTGGTGAGATGTACTTCTTTAGATCGGGCAATTGGGACAAGACTTTTAACCACAGAAGTTGATTAGACTGACCAAATTCATTCCTTATCCTTAGGTCTACCTGCAGAAGATCCATTAGCCCAGAGTGTTTTATTTTTTTTAAAGAAAGTAATGCATTTTATTTACAAGAAAGAAAATCACAAAATAGGATAATTAATTATAGTTTGGTAGAAAATATCCTAAGCCAAGACCTTTAAGGGAAATGTTAAAGGCATGACTATTGCACTGTCTCATTCCTCCTAAGCAAACTGTGAAACGCTAGCCAGTATCCAAGAGTTTGATTCATAGGATGCTGAAGTCCAAGTCACTTTTTTTTTGCTGGGCCATTCATTTCATTTGTTATCATTGGATTTTCAGATAATTCTACCTC